TCTTTCATGAGTATTTTATAGTTTTCTGAGTACAGATCCTTTGCCTCTTTGGTTAGATTTATTCCTAGGTATCTTATGGTTTTGGGTGTAATTGTAAATGGGATTGACTCCTTAATTTCTCTTTCTTCTGTCTTGTTGTTGGTGTATAGGAATGCCACTGACTTCTGTGCATTGATTTTATATCCTGCCACTTTACTGAATTCCTGTATGAGTTCTAGCAGTTTTGGGGTGGAGTCTTTGGGGTTTTCCACATAAAGTATCATATCCTCTGCAAAGAGTGAGAGTTTGACTTCTTCTTTGCCGATTTGGATGCCTTTGATTTCTTTTTGTTGTCTGATTGCTGTGGCTAGGACTTCTAATACTATGTTGAATAGCAATGGTGATATTGGATATCCCTGCCACGTTCCTGACCTTAGGGGGAAAGCTCTCAGTCTTTCCCCATTGAGAATGATATTCACTGTAGGTTTTTCATAGATGGCTTTTATGATATTGAGGTATGTACCCTCTATCCCTATACTCTGAAGAGTTTTGATCAAGAAAGGATGCTGTACTTTGTCAAATGCTTTTTCTGCATCTATTGAGAGGATCATATGACTCTTGTTCTTTCTTTTGTTAATGTATTGTATCACGTTGATTGATTTGCGGATGTTGAACCAACCTTGCAGCCCAAGGATAAATCCCACTTGGTCGTGGTGAATAATCCTTTTAATGTACTGTTGGATCCTATTGGCTAGTATTTTGGTGAGAATTTTTGCATCCATGTTCATCAAGGATATTGGTCTGTAATTCTCCTTTTTGATGGGGTCTTTGTCTGGTTTTGGGATCGAGGTAATGGTAGCCTCATAAAACGAGTTTGGAAGTTTTCCTTCCATTTCTATTTTTTGGAACAGTTTCAGAAGAATAAGTATTAATTCTTCTTGAAATGTTTGGTAGAATTCCCCTGGGAAGCCATCTGGCCCTGGGCTTTTGTTTTTTGGGAGATTTTTGATGACTTCTTCAATTTCCTTAGTGGTTATAGGTCTGTTCAGGTTTTCTATTTCTTCTTGGTTCAGTTTTGGTAGTTGATACATCTCTAGGAATGCATCCATTTCTTCCAGGTTATCTAATTTGCTGGCAAAGAGTTGCTCATAATATGTTCTTATAATTGTTTCTATTTCTTTGGTGTTGGTTGTGATCTCTCCTCTTTCATTCATGATTTTGTTGATTTGGGTCATTTCTCTTCTCTTTTTAATAAGTCTGGTCAGGGGTTTATCAATCTTGTTAATTCTTTCAAAGAACCAGCTCCTAGTTTTGTTAATCTGTTCTGTTCTTTTGGTTTCTATTTAATTGATTTCTGCTCTGATCTTTATTATTTCTTTTTTCCTGCTGGGTTTTGGCTTTATTTGCTGTTTTTTCTCTAGCTCCTTTAGGTGTAGGGTTAGGTTGTGTACTTGAGACCTTTCTTGTTTCTTGAGAAAGGCTTGTATTGCTATATACTGTCCTCTGAGGACTGCCTTTGCTGCATCCCAAAGATTTTGAACAGTTGTGTTTTCATTTTCATTGGTTTCCATGAATTTTTTTAATTCTTCTTTAATTTCCTGGTTGACCCATTCATTCTTTAGTAGGATGCTCTTTAGCCTCCATGTATTTGAGTTCTTTCCGACTTTCCTCTTGTGATTGAGTTCTAGTTTCAAAAGCATTGTGGTCTGAAAATAGGCAGGGAATGATCCCAAGCTTTTGGTACCAGTTGAGACTTGATTTGTGACCTAGGATGTGATCTATTCTGGAGAATGTTCCATGGGGACTAGAGAACAATGTGTATTCTGTTGCTTTGGGATGGAATGTTCTGAATATGTCTGTGAAGTCCATTTGGTCCAGTGTGTCATTTAAAGTCTTTATTTCCTTGTTGATCTTTTGCTTACATGATCTGTCCATTTCAGTGAGGGTGGTGTTAAAATCCCCTACTATTATTGTATTGTTGTCGATGTGTTTCTTTGCTTTTGTTATTAACTGCCTTATATAATTGGCTGCTCCCATGTTAGGGGCATAGATATTTACAATTGTTAGATCTTCTTGTTGGATAGACCCTTTAAGTAGGATATAGTGTCTTTCCTCATCTCTTATTACAGTTTGGTTTAAAATCTAATTTGTCTGATAAAAGGATTGCCACCCCAGGTTTCTTTTGATGTCCATTAGCATGGTAAATGGTTTTCCATCCCCTCACTTTCAATCTGGGGGTGTCTCTGGGTCTAAAATGAGTCTCTTGCAGACAGCATATCGATGGGTCTTGTTTTTTAATCCAATCTGATAGCCTGTGTCTTTTGATTGGGGCATTGAGCCCATTTACATTCAGGGTAACTATTGAAAGATAGGAATTTAGTGCCATTGTATTGCCTGTAAGGTGACTGTTACCATATATTGTCTGTGTTCCTTTCTGGTCTATGTTGTTTTTAGGCTCTCTCTTTGCTTAGAGGACCCCTTTCAAGATTTCTTGTAGGGCTGGTTTCATGTTTGCAAATTCCTTTAGTTTTTGTTTGTCCTGGAAGCTTTTTATCTCTCTTTCTATTTTCAATGACAGCCTAGCTGGGTATAGTATTCTTGGCTGCATATTTTTCTCATTTAGTGCTCTGAATATATCCTGCCAGTCCTTTCTGGCCTGCCAGGTCTCTGTGGATAGGTCTTTTGCCAGTCTAATGTTTCTACCATTGTAGGTTACATATCTCTTCTCCCGAGCTGCTTTCAGGATTTTCTCTTTGTCTCTGAGACTCGTAAGTTTTACTATTAGATGTCAGGGTGTTGACCTATTTTTCTTGATTTTGAGAGGGGTTCTCTGTGCCTCCTGGATTTTGATGCCTGTTTCCGTCCCCAAATTAGGGAATTCTCTGCTATAATTTGCTCCAATATACCTTCTGCCCCTCTCTCTCTTTCTTCTTCTTCTGGGATCCCAATTATTCTAATGTTGTTTTGTCTTATGGTATCACTTATCTCTCGAATTCTGCCCTCGTGATCCAGTAGTTGTTTATCTTTTTCTCAGCTTCTTTATTTTCCATCATTTGGTCTTCTATATCACTGATTCTCTCTTCTGCCCCATTTATCCTAGCAGTTAGCACTCCCACTTTTGATTGCACCTCATTAATAGCCTTTTTGATTTCAACTTGGTTAGATTTTAGTTCCTTTATTTCTCCAGAAAGGGTTTCTCTAATAACATCCATGCTTTTTTCAAGCCCAGCTAGTATCTTTAAAGTGATGATTCTGAACCCTAGATTTGACATTGTACTAATGTCCGTATTGAGTAGGTCCCTGGCAGTCGGTACTACCTCTTGTTCTTTTTGTTGAGGTAATTTTTTCCGTCTTGTCATTTTGTCCAGAGGAGAATAGGTGAACAAGAGAACAAAATACTAACAGGGTAACAACGTCCCCAGAAAATATACTCTAAACAAATCAGAAAAGACCTGAAGCCGGGGGAAAAGAAAGGGAAAGAGAGAAAAAAGAAAAAGAAAAAAAAAAGAAAAAGATAAAAGATAAAAACAAACAAAAACAGACCAAAACAAACAAACAAAAAAAAGCAGAATATGATCAAATATGATCAGGCTGGTGCATAGATCAGTGCCACTCACTAGATTTTGGGGGCATTTTGGTCTGTTAGAAGAAAGTGCCTCCCAAAATTTTAAAGAAAGAAAAACTTATATATGTACAAAAATAAGGGTTGATATGATGAAGGGATGGAATATCACTCTAAAGATGAAAATTATAAAAAATTTTATAAAAGGAATTGATAAGAAGTTGTTTGAAAAAAGAAAGGAGAGGATTTAAAAAAAAAGAAAAAAGGGGGAGAGAATGTGATTAGGCAGGAGACTAGAACAAAGCCATACACTAGAGATTTAGGGTATATTTTGATCTGTTAGAAGAAACTGTATCTCAAAATTTTAAAGAGAGAACAACTTATATATATATGCCAAAAATAAGGGTAACTACTATGAAGGGATAGAATATGACTCTAAAAATGAAAAATAAAAATGTTTTTTAAAAAAGGGATTGATAAGATGCTGGTTGAACAAGGGAAAAAGAAAAATTTTTTTAAAAAGTTAAAAAAATTAACTTTGAAAGACTAAAGAATCATGGTAAAAAAGCCATGGATTCTATGTGCAGTATTCCCCTAGTGCTGGAGTTCTGCTGTTCTCATTGATCGGTAAACTTGGTCTTGGCTGGCTGTTCTCGCTGATCTTCTGGGGAAGGGTCCTGTTGCCGTAGTTCCCAAATGTCTTTGCTGGAGGCAGAATTGCCCCGCCCTTGCCCAGTCCGGGCCAAATAATCTGCTGGGGTTTGCTCTTGGGAGCTTTTGTTCCCTGCAAGCTTTCAGTACAGCTTTGGAGGAGAAGAGTGAAAATGTTGGCCTCCCAATCTCCGCCCCAGAGGAACCAAGAACTCGGGGCCCCACTCCTCAGTGTGCCCCCAGAGAAAAGCAGTCAGTCACTCCCGTCTCCCCGGTGTCCGGCCGCACTCCATGCTCACCCGGCCTGTGACCGCGCGTTTCTATCTCTGGCACCCGACCCTGTGTGGAGTCTCCAAACCCAGCAGATCCCTGTGGTGCACTCCCGTGCCGCTCCTCCCGGGGGAGGAAGGGGAGTCTGCCCGGATCTGCCACTTGTTGGGTCCCTGCTGGAGGAGCAGTGGCCCGACTGTGCCCCAGATCATGGTCTATGGCAACCCCGAGCTGAGAGCCCACTCCTTGGCTCCATCTCTGCAGCCGGCTTCCCCGCTCTGATACCTGGGAGCTCTGCCGCACTCAGGCACCCCCGGTATTTCTGTGACCCTAAGGGTCCTGAGACCACACTGTCCCGCAAGGGTTCCACCCCTTGCTTAGCCACTGGAGTGACCTCCCTCAGCGGAGCCGACCTCTAAAAGTTCGGATTTTGTGCTCCGCAGCTCTATCACTTGCCAGAAGTGGCTGACGGAGGCCCCCACCCCCGCCATCTATCCTCCCGAATATCACCTCGGATTCACTTCTCCACATGTCCTACCTTCCAGAAAGTGGTCGCTTTTCTGATGAGAGGGTTGTTGCTATTCTTTTCTTCGATCTCCTGTTGAGTTTGTAGGTGTTCAGAATGGCTTGATCCCTATCCAGCTGAATTCCTGAGACCAGACGAAATCCAGGTCTCCTACTCCTCCGCCATCTTGCTCCGCCCACCATCACTGATGTATCTTAAGGGTCTAGAAGAGTGACTGGGACATAACAGATGCTCAATAAATATTTGCTGAATAGCTAACAGATGAATGGAATAATCAACACAGCTTGTACATAGGAAAGAACAACCATGAAAAAATTCTTCATTCAGAAAGGATGTTATTTTTAAATTATTTTCTAATAATATTGTTTTGCTTATTTTTCTCTCATTTGGTAAGAATGAATATAGAGAGATAAATTTTAGAAGAAACTCTTATCAGGAACAGTATGTAGTAAATGCTTTCTCCTGGCTTTTTTTTCTTTCATTTAGTTCTCTGAATTTTTTTCAGTAGATTATTCTAAGTTTGAATTTGAATTATGTTTATGTCTTGGGAACTGGTCCTTATATACAAGTAATCAAAGAAAATCTTGAATGTGCAATTTTTTAAATAAAACAGGATTAACAATGTAAAGGATTATGAAAAATGTCTTCAGAATGAGCAAACTGAGAGACAGAAGAGGTGGTATCAACATATATTATCAAATTTTTTTGGTAGAATATGTTCAGAATTAATTGAAAAGTAAACTAATCTTCTATACTAAAATTTGTGCCAGAAATTTTCATTTCTTCATTTATTAGTATAAATTAGTCCATATTAGGAATATGCACTCCTCTCTGAGCTATAGACCCATCTTTCTTTTTTTTTTTTTTTTTTTTTTTTTTACAGATTTTCTTTATTTGAGACAGAGAGAATGAGAGACAGAGCATGAGAGGGAGGAGGGTCAGAGGGAGAACCAGACTCCCCGCTGAGCAGGGAGCCCGATGCGGGACTCGATCCCAGGACTCCAGGATCATGACCTGAGCTGAAGGCAGTCGCTTAACCAACTGAGCCACCCAGGCGCCCTATAGACCCATCTTTCTAACAATAAATATTTCCATCTGGATATATCACCATGTCTCAAGTTCAAGCTCTCTATCCTGAACCCATCATCTTCACCTCAAACTGCATTCTCATCCAGTGTTCCCTATTTTGGTGACCATAATTACCAACCTCTCCAGTTGTACAAACCTGCCTAACACCTTCTTCCTCATCTGTTATCTCAAGTTTATTGCTAAACTCTGTTGAAATTATTTCTTAAATATATCTTAAAGGTTTCTCCTTCTTTCCATCTTAGGTGCAAACACTTTAGTCCAAAGTACCATAATCTATCTTTTGAACTACTGGTCCACCAGTATCCATTCTAGCTTCTCCAAACCATTCTCCAAAGTGCATGGAAAGTGATTTTTTAAATTTAACTAAAAATCTGATCATATCGCTTCTCTGCTCAAACCCATAAATGGCTTCTCTCTTTTTTTTTAAGATCTATTTATTTGAGTGAGAGAGAGAGAGAGAACTGGCACATGTGCCAGTGGGGGAAGGGCAGAGGGAGAGGAAGAGAGAGAATCCTCAAGCAGACTCCCCACTGAACGCAGAGCCAGACGAGGGACTCTATCCCAGGACCCTGAGATCATGACCTGAACTGAAATCAAGAGTTGGCCGCTTAACTGACTGAGTCACCCAGGTGCCCCAGGCTTCTTTTTGTAAGATAAAGATAAAAAGGCTTCAGATGGCCTATACAGCCCTACAGGATTTTGCAGTGCTTATGTCTCCAACTATAGCCAGCCATATTCTCCTCCTCCATCCCTGTGCTCCAACCACAGTTCCTTCAATATGCATATGCTTTGTCCCACCCCAGAGGTTGCCACATGCAATTCCTTCAACCTGGAATGTTCCTCCTTGCAACTACTGACCCACACCTTTGATTAGTTAATACCAATGTAATCCTGCAGATCTCAACACCCTCCATCTCTTTGACCACCAGACTCTCATTATGCATTCAAATAGCATCCAGGGCTTTTATTTCATGGAAGTTACCATCTTTTGTAATTAATAGTTTCTGACTTGCTCATCATTTGTACCTAGCAAATAGTATCTGATACTTACGAGAGATTCAATATCCAATTTTTAATGGATAAGTAAATATTTTACTAGCTAATAATTCAAGATTTTATTTTAGCATTGTTACTAAAAACATGGATGAACTAAATGTAGATTAAGAATATATTTTTAGAAGGATGTAAATGTGTTGGTATTATTTACATCACATACATGACATATGTGATCAGTAATATATGAGAGAACAGCTTCATCAGAAGCAAGAAAGTTAAGAACAGCAAGAAAAAAGGGTTCATCAGGATCCAAAGCTGCACAGAAGAAACTGCAAGAGATGAGGCTGGGATTACTGGATATAGCAAGAAGAAAGCCATTGGTTACCTTGGCAATTAGTTACTTGATTTTGTGTGAAATTGGTTACTAATTCTGTGTGAAAGCCAGATTACGGAAGAGTGAGGAGTGAATGGAAATAGAGATAACATTCCTCTTCCAAGGATCTTAACATCTGATTATGCAGTTTCTTGGGCCATGCAGAAGTTAATTTTTGATTGGGTCTGTGCTGTGTGATTGGATCTACACAAAAGCAACAATTTCAGATGAGAAAAAAATTCAGGTTCCAATTCACAATGACTCATAAAGATGAAAGCTTGACTGCAGGACTGGATCCACAGCATATCAGATTACCAGATCTTCAAGCCAATTGATTCTGCTGAGATATGTGTATAGGTGTGTGTGTGTGTGTGTGCACGCGCATGGCTTTTTTTCTTAACAAAGAAGCCTCCTAAAATTAAAAAAAGTTTCAAAAAAATCACTACATTTTTTAGGATGGGTTTTATGCAAGAGCCCTGGAAAGAAAATACACTTTATCAGAAATGTATCAATTATCTCTAATGAAAGAGTACTCAACATAGGGGTGCCTGGGTGGCTCAGCTGGTTGAGCAGCTGACTCTGGATTTCAGTTCAGGTCATGATCTTGGGGCCCTGGGATTGAGCCCCATGTCTGGCTCTGTTCTCAGAGGGGAGTCTTCTTGAGGATTCTCTTTTTCCCTCTCCCTCTGCCCCTTCCGCCCCTGCTCACGAGCACGCGTGCGTGGGCTCTCTCTCTCTCTCTCTCAAATAAATAAATAAATCTTAAAAAAAAAAGATTACTCAACATAGTTCAGAAGTAACACATTTGTGAGGGGAAAAAAGCAAATTAAATGTGTAACTTATGCTAAATAACAATCTTCACAAGAAAATTAAGATGAAGTAAAATTCTCAATTTGTTGCTCTTTTCAGCATATTTTCTTTTTTTAAGATTTTATTTATTTGAGAAAGAGCATGAGCGGAGGGGAGGGGCAAAGGGAGAGGGAGAAGCCGACTCCCTGCTGAGCAGGGAGCCCCACACAGGGCTGGATCCCAGGACCCCAGATCATGACCTGAGCAAAAGGCAGACGCTTAACCGATTGAGCCACCCAGGTTCCCCTCAGCATATTTTCAAGAAATTAAGCTCACAGAGTCTCTCTCTACTTTGAGACAATGTTTTCCACTAACTCAACCTCTCATTCCCCCTCTCAATATTCAATTTACAATAGTAACGGTTGTGAGATGCACTTGATCCTAATATTAATGCCAGTCCTCCAAAATAAGAGAGAGAGAAGTCTGGATACACACAACTTAGTTTCAGAAATAATTACTGACTCCTATATCACTGTGTTATTCAACATGTCTAACTTTAGCATAAAGTCACTTCAGTAGTAGGTAATGTTTGGATACTGATGCTCTCCCCCTCGGCATGTGATGGCCTACTGAGTTCTCTTCAACTTGAGAAGGCTCTTTCATCATGAAATTTCTGGCAAACAAGAACTGTACATTACTGGTATTATAAGGTACACAGGCCAAGATTGGCCTAATGTTTTTAAGTGGGGTCTCTGCCATGATTTAACAATAAAGGAAAACTTTATTCAAGAACAAGCTTCAATGGGAAGATAAAATTTGATAAAATGAAGAAATAAATGATTTTATGCCTGAACTGAGTGCAGTATACTTCCATGAGTACACCTGAAGAAGTTCAAACTTCCCGAGCACACACAAAGTCTGGATCCAGTTGGGGGTGTGTGGAAGGGAGGTAGACAAATCGTAAAGCAGAAGATTTTTTATTTTATAATGAAATCATCCCTTTGATCTCATCTCCCTCTATCCATGTGTCATTGAAATCAGTGATTTTTCTAAGGGAGCCACCCTATGGGGTATTTTGGATATTTTTTGGTGGCATTTTTTGTTGTAACAATGACTTGGGGGCCCTCTGGGCTCAAAGATAGGCCCAAAGACTCACACCATTGAATTTTCAACAACCCCCTGGACATTCATGTAAGTGAAAATATGTGTAAATATTCTGAGCAAAGAAGCTAAATTTATGTTTTATATGTAAACATAAAGGCCTTGAAATATCATGGCCTGCTGGGTGGCAATAAGGTCCTCAGCACTGACAATGTACTTTTTAAATACCATTCTCCATTAAAAAGAATCAATGCTCCTTGGAGAAATGGTTGATTCTATATATAGTACATGAAAAGTATAAGATAAAACTGGAATACGTTGCCATACCAAAAATCAAGGATTCTGTCAAAGACTACTGGAGTCACATTAAAAGTCTCAGGAACCAACTTGCAGAGGCTCTCAATGGCCAAAGACAGGCCTTGAGAATCAATAGGAATGATAATTATAGTGGATGAAAACACATCAATTATGTTCAAATCCACAAGTTTACAATAATTCAAAAATCATTAGTCACCTCTGAAAGATGCTGGAAGCTCAAATCATTAGTTTTAAAACCTATAAATAAATTTAAAAATAGAATACTTCCCCTGTCTTTCTTATATATACCTGAGGGCAAACAAGTAGATAGCAAAGGAAGCTTTCTCTTTATAGAAGTATTTCAGCTATTAAATGAAGCAGGGATGGTAGAATTAGAATGCCACCATTTTGTGACCACTAAGGAAATAATAGATTTAAGAAATAATTATCAATGGCTGCTATAATCATGGAGAAGCAACCAGATTATGTGCCTTTTGGTAGAAGTTTATACTACTTATAAAGTGTTTTTGCCAAAATATCCAACTTGAATCACATCCAGACTCTAGATCTAAATAATAAATTACAAGAAATACAGGTGACAGAGAAAAATGTTAACTGTCATCATGAAGAAGCATTCTGCAAAGCTCAGACTTCAGAAAACTCCAGAACTAACAATCCCATTCATGCAACAAATAAATTGAAAAGAGAAAGAAAGAAAGAAAGAAAGAAAGAAAGAAAGAAAGAAAGAAAGAAAGAAAGAAAGAAAGAAAAGTCTATAGATTAGAAAAGACACAAATTGGGGTGCCTGGCTGGCTCAGTCAGTAGAGCAAGTGACTCTGGATCTCATGGTTGTGAGTTTGAGCCCCACATTGGGTGTAGAGATTACTTAAAAATAAAATATTTAAAAAATAAATAAATAAAATATAAAAGAGACACAAGAGACTGGTGTCAATATCAACAAATTTCAATGTGTTGACATTATTTTTACCCTTGTTCAAATAAACAAATTAATAAAAATGGTATGTGTAGAAATTGGGAAAGACTCCATTATAGACTGAATTGTGTCCCCCCAAAATTCATATGTTAAATCTTTGACCTTCAGTATCTCAGAATGTGACTGTATTTGAAGATAGGGCATGTAGAGAAGTGATTAAGTTAAAATGAGGCTGTTGGAGTGGGTCCTAATCCAATCTGACTAGTGTCCTTATGAGAAGAGGGAATTTGAACACACAAAAGAGATTACCAGGGACTTACATGCACACAGGATGAATATGAGAAGAAGCAGCAGGAATGTGACCACCTGCAAACCTAGGAGAGACACCTCAGGAGAAACCAAGCTGAGAAAATAAATTTCTATTGTTTAAGCCAACTAGTCTACAGTATTGTTTTATGGCAGCCTTGGAAAACTAATATAGATGCTAAAATGTCCACTGTTCAATTAAACTTAAATAAATATGGGAGGGGCGCCTGGGTGGCTCAGTTGGTTGAGCATCTGCCTTCAGCTCAGGTCGTGATCTTGGGATCCTGGGATCAAGCCCTCCCTGGGGCTCCCTGCTGAACAGGGAGTCTGCTTCTCCCTCTCCCTCTGCCCCTCCCCCCTGCTGTGCACTCTCTCTCTCTCTCAAATAAACAAACAAAATCTTCTTTTAAAAAAAGGAAAGAAATAAATATGGGAATATAGAAAGAGATATACTATGAATCCTGAAGCATAAATCTCAACTGATGAAATGGAGAGAATCAAGTCTCCTGATGGGAGGTGGGTCATACAAATACAAATTGATTTGTATTCACACTTTGATAGTGAGTTCATATATAGTTTCACCAACTAGAATATGAACATTTTCACTGGAAATTTGCATTATTTGTAATATTGAAACCGATTCTACTCATTCCCTTTTTTTTTTTTAAGATTTGTTTGTTTGTCAGAGAGAGAGAAAGAGAGGGAGGGAGGGAGAGCACGAACAGAGGAATGGCAGGCAGAGGGAGAAGCAGGCTCCCGCTGAGCAAGGAGCCCGACATGGGGCTCAATCCCAGGACCCTGGAATAATGACCTGAGCCAAAGGCAGACACTTAACTGACTGAGCCACCCAGCCACCCCTCTACTCATTCCCTTCTATTTACCTCCAAAATTCTATGCCACTTTACCATTTACTTTCTCCCTTTTCTCACTTATAAATTATCCACCCTATTAAATGGCATAGCTGTGACAATTCTAAGTTTCAGCTGCCCGCTATGTTCTCATCCACTTCATCTCTTAAATATGTTTCAAGCATTAACAATAAGTTGTGTTTCATCCTAGAGACAGCTGGGTTTCAGGGAGAGGTAAAATGTTTCATTATCTCACCCTATTGTCCAAGACAAATGTGCTATTGTATTACATGTGAAATGTCATCTTTGAAGTCTATTAAGGGTGTGCTGTGAGGTGAACCATCTGGAAAACACAATGTAGGCTGGAAAATAATTATAAGCCAGTTCATTGCACTTTTTTTTCCAGTGAAGCCTACCATGACAGCTGCTAAAAACACTATGTAGTGTTAGGGGTAGAGGCTTTGAAGACACACAGGTTAGACCCTACCTCCAACAATGCTTAACTAGTATGCAAGTTACTTAATTTCTTTGATCCTTTTGTCTGTAAAATTGAGAAACTGATACATTTTGCAGTGGAGTTTTATGAGAGTTAAATGAAATACTTGTAAATCACTTGGAACAGGGTAGACATTAAGTATATTTCTCCTCTCTTCTTTTAAATATAGAGACGATTTCATGTTCTTTACATAGAGAATATTAGATAATCCAGTAATATTTGGAAATCAGATTAAGCAGTCCATTGTAAAGATGTTTTGTAAATTAGTCCGTCGAGTTTCCATGTGATTCTTTGAATTTCAGGGGAGAAAAGGGGTTTGGAAGATCAAGTGTGAAGCTTTCTCAGGAATTCTCAGTCTGGAGTGGGTTAGGACCACCTAGATGCGCTTCCTAGGAAGACGCTGTCCGTGGTGCTAGTAATCGCGCGTACCGCTAGCAACATTTCCCCCGCCCAAAATTCTTTCCCAGTCAACTCACTGAGTGAAGCTCACATATCTGCCTCGTGGAAGATTCTCAGACTTTCGGCTAATTGGCTTTTTCTCTATCTTACCACTCTTTGTCTATGTCCCCTTCAACTAAAAACAATTTTCTTCCATCTCCTTATCAACTCCAAATAGTTTTCATTTTTTCAGACACTTTGCCATGCTTACCACTTAAGAAAGTGGCTCAAAAATTGGCTCATGCTATCTTTTTCTGACCTTTTTGCTAAGTTTCAGAGAAATCCAAAGCTCAAATCTAGAACACAGGAAATATTTTCTGATGCATTCTTTAGAGACTCTTCATCTGGTAACTCCTCTGCATCTCCATCTTGATTTAAGTTCCCCTCTTCTTACTCCCAAAATATCCTATAGATACATCCTCAGTAAAGTTATTGCATTAAATTGAAACTCTCTATTTATTAGTTTTGAGTGCCACCAGGGAGACTTTCTTAAAAGCTAGCACCCACATCTTACTCAATTGTGGACTCCCGGAATATAGGACATACTGAGCTAAATTTTGTTGAACTAATTTAATTACTGGATCTGTTAGAAGAAAGACCCCAACAACACTCCTTTAAAAGGCAACCTGCCTTTTTACATTTGGCTATGCACTAAATTTCAGGGTAGCTAGGCTGTTCTGATGAAGATACTCTGGACTGAGTCCATTTGCCACCACATCCGCCACTATCAGTCTGATGACTCAGCCCCTCAGAGTGACTGCCAAAGAAACAATGCCATCCATTTCAAAACTCTGGCTTCCCACTGTCTATATTTCCTCTTCCTTCTCCCATTCTGCCTACACACCTGTAATCTCCAATACACCATGGGTGGGGACTAGCTCCAAAGACTGGTCAAAAACAGCTCATCTATGCTTTTCAACCAGAAGTAGACTTCTATTCCTCTGGCCAGACCAAGAAATGGAGCCACCATCAACAAATAAAAGGACTTTTCTTTTTCAGATAAGAGTGGAGGTTCAAATAAGAGGGAAAGATAGAGAAATTAAGAAGCTGAAAACTAAGAAATGAGATGGGGTAAGATTATCAATGCTGCCTCCTCCCCTTCCCTATCCAGGTGGATTTCAACTCTGTCTCAGTCAGTAGATCTTCATCCCTAACCACCACTTCTATGCTCCCCTGTCTTTGAAGAACTCTTCCTTATTCTTCAATGGATTGGGGAGGGGGAGCCCAAGCTAAGGTGTGCTAGAAGAAACACGTGAGGGGCGCCTGGGTGGCTCAGTCATTAAGCGTCTGCCTTTGCCTCAGATCGAGATCTCAGGGTCCTGGGATGGAGCCCGCATTCAGGCTCCCTGCTCAGCGGGAAGCCTGTTTCTCTCTCTCCCACTCCCCCTGTTTGTGTTCCCTCTCTCGCTGTGTCTCTCTCTGTCAAATAAATCAATAAAATCTTTAAAAATTAAAAAAAAAGAAACATGTGAAACAAACTCCCATTTATGAGTAAGCAAGCAATTGCCCTTCCTTAGGCACTCTTCCTCTGCACTCTGAACCAAAATTAACTTGTAAATAAGAACTGTTCCGTGTTAGAAGAAGCTCAGTCTAATGTAGTTCCTCACCAAAGCTTTCAGACAACAGATACATAACTTGTGGTTCTCTTCCTATTTTAATCGAACATCAGCTGCAATTTTTTAAATCTTTAAAGCAATACATATGTTAATTCAAACACCTAGGAAGATTGGGAAGAAAGGCAATTGGCCTTTAAATCTTCAGAAGAGGATTTAATGACAGGTTCATCCTGTTTAATGACAGGCCCAGCACCACACCCCTGTTTTATTATGCTTCATTATTACTGCATAAATTTCCTTTATTACTCATGATAAATAAAAATCAAATACTTGCGAAGTGGGTTTAAATAGGTAAGAGTGCAAACAAAAATAATACTATTCAAATATCATGAAACTGGAATCTCAGATTCTTAAAATACATATTTATATTTTTTAAAAGTCTCACGTGTACCAGGTTGCCATTGTCATTCCCAAACTAGGTTTGTTTTTTGGAGTTGTGTGTGTGTGTGTGTGTGTATCCATTATTCAAAGATGAAAAGAATAAAAAACACATTCAAAACAGGATTCTCAGGATTTTTCACTGTGACTGATTTTTGACTAATTCAACTAAGAAGACACACCCAAAAGAAAATTGCTAAGGTTGATGCAAGATGTGAAGCTAGTGAAGTTCAAGTACTCCCTGAGGATGAATTTAACCTGCATGACAGGTGCAAAAATGTCACTTTCAGAAATCTTAGGGGAGACGAAGTTATTTTGAATGCCTCTTAGCCAGTCGTTCAATTGCACAAGGAACGACTAACGTCTCCAGAGTGAAACCAGCTGGCACAGGGCTGAAGGAATAGAAATCCTCTGCTCCGCCTGCTGGAGGGAGGGCATTAGGAGCTGACTGCATTAATTCAACTTTTCCAAAACCTTAGCTAAGGCCTTGCAGGACACTGGGCCAGCAGGACAGCAAGCTCCGCACGCCCGGTGTCTGGCGCATGCGTCCCAGCACAGTCCGGGCTGGCTTCCCCCCCTCCCGCCCCTACCTCGTCGGCTGTAACGTCATCTGCCGGCCAGGCCTCCCGGCCAACCGAGTGGGAAGTGCCAGCGCCGGCCGGCCGGACAGGGGGCGGAGCCTAAGGGGGTGGGGAATGCCCTGCCCGGCCGCCCAGCGTGAAACGGATTCATTCCCAGCCAGCTCGCCATCTAGCCGGAGCGAGGCTCCGCAGTGAGAACGCTGCGACGCGCCCGCGCTCGGCGGCCGGAGGCGCCCTGCGCTCGGCTGCGGCCACGCGAGGCGCTTTTCCCCGGGAGTGAGCCGGGAAAAGCCCGGTTTAACCACGAGTGGCACGACATTGCAAGGACCTCCAAGGCGACAGAAGGACGGCGAAAGAGGGCTGAAGCTGACCTGAACTTTCCCACGGAGGGGAGACGGCGCCTAGACGAGGTGGGGAACAAGGGAGTGTGGCGACGCTCGCGGCCAGCGGTGGATTATCCCGGTCAGTCTGCGTCTGCGGCCTGCGAAATGCGCGAGGAGGACAAGGGCATGCTCGGTGGTGGTGGCGACGACGCGGGCCTGGCCAACGCCTCGGCGCAGGGGCAAGTGGAGACCGTGCGGCAGCTCCTGGAAACCGGTGCGGATCCCAACGGAGTCAACCGCTTCGGGAGGCGGCCGATCCAGGTAGCTGGGGCCCTGGGGCCTCGCCGGCAGGGGGCGCATGAACAAAGGGGAGCGGCCTCCGTGGGACGCGGCTGGGACCGAGATCTTCACCAACGTACCTGTGTCTCTCTTCCTTGAGGTGTGGCGCCCAGGTGTAAAGCAGGTTCTCCCCCACCAAGGATCCTAAAGAAAGGGATTGAAAAAAACCACTACTTCAGTTTGGTTTTCTTTTTAGTAGTGGAAAAAATGTCAATATTCCCTCTCCTGTCTTGTGATCACAGATGCAAGGGATAAATTCAATTGGGGGGAAAGGGAGGGTTATTTGGGGAGGAAAATTTTTGTGTCTTTCAATAAATATCGATCAACTTTCACTGATAGAGATAATTAAATGACAAAATTACACAATCTGGATTAGATTTGAGGAATCATGCAGAATCATAGTGCATGAAAAAAATTACCGTGCACTTCTAGGCTGCAATATGAAATTCTCTTATTCTTTTCTCATAGAGGAAAACTGAATACAAAGAGATAAGCCAGGATTCCTCGACCACAGAACTTAATTCCTTTTACGTTAGCAGGGTCTCTTGAGTGTTACATAAGAAAAATATGCTTTCATAGATTTTTGTTTAATTATACAGTGATTAGATTACAAAAGCATGCTTGCAGCAATTTTTACGTCCTTTTTAAATGGCAGAGGGTCTACATAAATAATTCGCCTCTTCATTGTTAAAATCCTTTATTCAGTATGTTTATGAATCCCTTTAATTAGTACTGATTTTTTTTAATTCCTTTAAAATCCAAGGTAATGTTTTGTGCTTTATTGTTGACTATGATGGTTAGTATTGATCTCAGTGTCACGTTCTAGAACCAAGCTGTTATTAAGGAATCTTATTAATTGTGTAGATTTTTAAAGAAATATATGTTCATTCCTTTTGCATTCTTAGAAAAGTGTTATAAGAAGTGAGGGATAGCTTGGGGCGCCTGGGTGGCTCAGTCGATTAAGCATCTGCCTTCCCCTGGGGTCATGATCTTAGGGTCCTGAGATCAAGCCCTACCTCCAGCTCCCTGCTCAGCGGGGAGTCTGCTTCTTCCTCTCCCTCTGCCTCTCCTGCCTCCCCTGCTTGTGTGTGTGCACGCACCATGCATGCGCTCTCAAATAAGGGGATAAAATCTTTAAAAAAAAGAAAAGAAAAAGAAATGAGGGATAGTTTAAAGCAGCAAAAATATTGTAGTTATTAAAGACGTCAAATGATATTAATAATTTTAAGAGATTTTAATTATAGTTTTAATTCATCATTTTCTGAGATACTAAGAACCACTTTTTTTCCCTCTATATATGAAATATCTGACATACATCACTAGTGGAAATGATAACATATCATGGTTTTTAAGGGAGGAAATGGATGTTTCTAATATTCATGAAACAAAAAGTACTGTCTTTCAATTACATGGTCCATTTTAAAATACATAAACTCACAAGAATAAAGAACTCCGTTTTGGATATTTAGTTATCAAAAACTGTTTTATTGTTAAAATAAGAAAGTAAATGCTTGTATAATGTACATGTACACAAGTGGATGCTACAGGCTTACAGCTCCAAAACATCTTTTTTCTAAATTATGCATTGCTCTGATTTCACTAACATCCGAGCTCTTTTTTACACAGCAAATTATTTACTATCTAACATTATAAAATCCTGTTACATTATAAAATCCTGTACAATGTAAATATAGTGTTTATGTTACATTAAATATATTACCCTTTAAACTTTATCCCTTACCTATAATGTAAACTTAAAATATTAAAAATGGTAAATCATGTTAAAAAAATAACTTGTTTCCATCATCTTATAAGACTAGACGTGACATTACTTTTTCCCCTCTATCTCCAATTTTGGCTCAAACTGTCAGACTATATTCAGTTTATGAGCGCAAACATATATGACAATGAAATGTAAAAGCCTCCCACAGGGGATATAAGAGGAAAACTAAACAACTTAAAACATTATTTCTGGGGCGCCTGGGTGGCTCAATCATTAAGCATCCGCCTTCAGCTCAGGTCATGGTCCCGGAGTTCTGGGATTGAGCTCCAAATCGGGCTCCCTGCTCTGCAGGAAGCCTGCTTCTCCCTCCCCCACTCCCCTGCTTTTGTTCCCTCTCTGGCTGTCTCTGTCAAATAAATAAACTCTTAAAAAATTAAAAAATAAAACATTATTTCTCCTCTAAAGCATTTCTCTCTTAAAAATATCAGCTGACTGCCTAGTAAATATTTTTAGATCCGGATCATGGCTGAGGTGGGAGAGACATCAAGACATTTTAGACGTAACTGCCCATAAATCATTTAACAAAATAGATTCCCATGTTCCAACAGAAATCAAAATTTTCTTTTTCGCGCAACGACTATTAGAGCTTTATTATCAGCTCTTTCTTGTCTCCGCATGTTTGGAAAATAAAATGCAACCCAGTTAGGACTGAGTAAAGAGTTATAAAAGGGGAGAGGGGGGAGGGTGTTGGGATTGCATCAGCAAAGGAAGCATAACCAGACTCCTGAGACTTGTAAGCGCCCCTGCGTTAGGTGGATACTTCATGAATAGGTATTTCTTTGAAACGGTTCTACCTGTCCCGGTCCAGGCCTGCATCTTGCTGCCCTGACCACCGCCGCCCTGACCACTCTGCTCTCTCCGGCAGGTCATGATGATGGGCAGCACCCGCGTGGCCGAGCTGCTGCTGTGCCACGGCGCGGAGCCCAACTGCGCCGACCCTACCACCCTCACCCGACCTGTGCACGACGCGGCCCGGGACGGTTTCCTGGACACGCTCGTGGTGCTGCACCGAGCCGGCGCGCGGCTGGACGTGCGCGATGCCTGGGGCCGCCTGCCCGTGGACCTGGCTGAGGAGCGGGGCCACGGCGCTGTCGCCGGGTACCTGCGCGCAGCTGCAGGAGACTGATGGCAGGTACCCCCAGCCGCCCACAACGACACTTCGTTTCTCCCCTGTTCCCCACCCCCAACTTAGTTCAAGGGAGGCTACAAATGTGGAGCGGCGGAAAGCCTGCAAGCCTTCCAAGAGACTTGACTCACCGTGGGGGAGGAGAAGCGGACCATGAATACATTTTTTTTTTCTTTCTTCTTTTCCCCTGGATCCCGCCCTCACACTCACGGCGCAGCCAAAAGCAGAGGTGGTGCAAATGGATTTCCAGAGAGATTTAGGAGCTGAACGTGAAGCTCCCGGGTGTCGTTTACTGTCCAGGGTTTTCTGGCAAAAAGCGGCCTATAAAGTCCCTAACGACCCCAGGTGTCTGCCAAACTTCACTGGAAAGACGCTGGCGGCAGAGTGGGAGGCGGCGATGATTGGCATTTGAGCAGGAGGCAGATGGCACGTTTGCCCTCTGACCTTGAAGGAGCGTATCCGCAGCCCCTACCTGGGTTTGAGGCGCCGGGGGCTAGAAGGAAACCTCTGAAGACTGAGGAGAAGACAACGATGCCAAAGACGAGTTCGACAGTAGAGGGCATCAGCAGGTGCCCAAGGCTTTATAGGCTGTGTGTTGCCACCCAAGTCACCTGCGAAGCCCTGGGGACTTGCGCCCAGTTCCACCGGATAGTGACGGGAAAGGAGGATGCGAGAGCCACCTTGAACTTGCCCACAGGTTCTACAATCCCTGGGTCAAGACGACACAGAACAGCTCCCGGAGAGGGGCAGGTGCTTGCTGTTTGTTATTCAGTCGAGGGGAGATTCTTGGGGAGTTCCAGAAGTCAGCGCACAGGATGACGTGGTGGATTGTAGGGAGAGCAACTGTCGCGATTAACTGTAAGGACTTGCTTCATCTATATACGATAGGATAAAGAACCCCCCCCCCCCGGAGATGAAAAGATTTTGTGATATTTTGTACTTCTGAGTTGTTCTTCAGTAACACTCTTACTGGGGAAGCTTTAAATAACAAAGTAACTCGTGCTCCTCGGTGAGGAAGAAATACAGCTTTTAAATGAAGCTCTGTCACAGTGCTAAAGCTTAGACCCATTCATCCTTAACCTATTTATTTCTTTGTTAGATTTTCTGACCGTTTCCTTTACTAGAGTGTCTCAGGGGGTCAAACTATGAAATATTCCAAATATCTTTTAGAAAACTGATGCACTTGCCCAGTAAATTATTTTGAGGTATTTCCCAAAGGGTTACTGAAAGAGTAAATTGAGTATAAAACTGTTTAAAATATATGATGATGGCTCGTGGAATGTCTTCATATCTGCTGAGCAAACTAAAGGTGTACTGCTTTGGGATTTAATGTCCAGTGTTGCTTGATTCCTTACAGCATTGGAACAACTGATACTTCAATGCTTTAATAAAGAAAAAACAATAGATTGGACTCAAAGATGTGGATATTTTGGTTTAAAAATGTATGATCATGGATTTACCACTAACTCCTGAGAAATGTTAAAGACTCAAAGAGGTTCACTTCTCTCACTCTTTATAATAATTATTGATAAATGATACCGACAACAATTTATAAAAAAAAAAACTGCTACACATACTAGGAAAAGATTTATGGGGTGTGTGTGAGAAAGAGAGTGAGAGAAACAGAAAAAAAAAAAAAACTAATTTGAGAGACCAAAAGAAGGGGTTTCTTTAAATTGAATAAAAAAGTCTTTACTTCCCCATCAATTCCGTATACCCAAATGAACACATTACTGGGGAAAGTTAGTTGAGAATCAGAGCATTTCTTATTGGAAAAAATATGTAAGCACTTATTGACACATAACTTGTGCCAGGCATATATTAAAATATATTCATTTAATACGTAAACCGGAGAGATAGGTATCATTTCCCTGATGAGAACAAGATAGAGAAATATTAGTTGATTATTTTTTATAATAGGGTATAATTCTTCCAATGTTCAAGACACAGTTCAAGATTCTACCAGAAGAAGAGCAAGTAGAATCAGTGATCTGGAAAAATGATAGAAGTCATCTGAAGAAGCACTTCTGTGGACTGCCTTATGTAGAAAATGCAAAAGTCAGTGTCACTTAAAATACAAGAGGTCTGGGGCGCCTGACTGGCTCAATTGGTAGATAGAGCATCTGACTCTTGATCTTGGGGTCATGAGTTCAAGCCCCACATTGGGTGCAGAGATTAAAGAAATAAATAAAAATTTAAAAATAAAATAAAATAGATCTGCTTTCATGTATATGTTAGCAGCTAATTACAACCTAATTCTGACATCCGAAGTTTTCTTTTTTCTTTTTTTTTTTTAAGATTTTATTTATTTATTTGACAGAGATGTAGCGAGAGAGGGATCACAAGCAGGGGGAGTGGGAGAGGGAGAAGCAGGCTTCCCACTGAGCAGGGAGCCCGATGTGGGGCTCGATCCCAGGACCCTGGGATCATGACCGAGCCAAAGGCAGACGCTTAATGACTGAGCCACCCAGGTGCCCCTGACGTCCTAAGTTTTCATTATTAACAACCTATTGAGTCTTTCTGTGAAAACTTGAATAATTTGGGGCTTGGTATAATTTCACAGTGTTCAGTTAACTAAGCTACAAATAGATATGAACATAGAGATGATAGATGATAGAACATATGTAAGAAAATAATACAATTTTAAGTTTAAAAATTATTTGAAGGAGCAACAATAGTTGTGTCACAATACTTTCCATGATCTTCTCCTGTCCTATTTATAATGCCAGGGAAGGAAAGGAAAGGAAGGAAGGAAAGAGGGAAGGAAGGAAAGAGAAGTTAGGACCTGATTGGAAAAATGGAAGACCTGGGTCCCAGTAGTGGTTCTCCAACTACATGACCTGAGTCCTGTGACTTTGATTAGCCTCAATTTCCCTCATCTATAAAAGGTGGGAATTAGACTAGATAACTCCAAAGTTCCCTACCATCACTAAAGCTTTACCCCTTTATGAATTTGTGGCATATATGAATGTAGTGGGGTCTTACATTTTATTAGTAATAATTGTGCCATACTAAGAGTCAAGGAAAGACACATAGAAGAATAGAGAGGAAAGACATATTTTAAAATTCTGGAGCCTTGGGAGGGAAAAAAATCTTTATTAAGCACCACCTCCACCAGTTAGTTGAAAAATTACAGACAAATTTGCGAGACAAATTTGCGAGAACTAGGAGCAGAAAAGATGCTTTCCAAATTAATAGTTTAAATGTTCAGGTCTTTTTCATTTTGTTTTACCTCATTTTCCCTGTTGCTTTTTGCATTTCTCTTAATGCCACTCAAAGCCACTAGAGGAATTAGTTTCTTAAAGTGAGATAAGCAAGTAGACCAAATAGATTTATAAAGTAATGCTGAAATAGGCATTGCAAACTAATATAAATGTTCTGAAAGAAAAAGTGGTTTTAAAATGAGCATATAACAAGGGATTCTGACCTAGAATGGGTTGGTTTAGGAGTTAGAACCAAGAGAAAAGGTTGGGCTGGGGCACCTAGCTGGCTCAGTTGATAGAGCATGTGATTCTTGATTTCTGAGTCTTGATCTTGGGGTGGTGAGTTCAAGCCCCACGCTGGGTTGTAGAGCTTACTTAAAAAGAGGGAGGGAGGGAGGGAGAGAGAGAGACAGAGAGAGAGAGAGAAGGTTGGGGATATCAGAAAGAACAAAGTGCGAAGGTGAGAAAATGCTAAAATATATAGTCATTCAAAGGTAAGTAACTTGGTAAACAGCAGTCATGGATCTTACAGACCCATTTCTAGGGGCCTGTACTTTCTGGTTTGTTTCTATTGGATTCCTTGAAACTTTAGGTCCTTAAATTTTGCCTGGGGGATAGTAGAAACCAGCTGGTTAGGGAAGACTTCTGTATCACCTAAATGTGTACCTGTCGCTATTCAGGAGGGCAGAGAAGGAGATGAAAGCAACAAAAGGAATACAAGGAGGAACAGCTTGGTGGTGTTTTGTGCAAGGTCAGTAATTCAACAGAATTAATCAAATCAAATCAAAACAAACTTATATGGTCTACATACTGACGGGATTTGCAAAATGTTCCCAGGCCTAAAATAATCAGAATCTGCTCATTCCCTACTGCCTTGGTTTTCTGTAAAACTTTTCTCAAGTTCAGCTACGACAAACAGGATGGCTCCTTTCTTGCCTCTTGACTCCCCCACTCAGAAGATTTTAATATCATTCCTTGCATAAGGAAAAGAATTACTTTACTTTTAGAAATGGTAACTTTTGTAAGTCATTTATATTTATCATTTATATTTAATTATATAACTGTATAATATGTATAATGTATAATATATAATTATAAATATATACAAATTTAAGTATTTATATATATTTACTAAATTTTTAAGTTTTAATTAAGTTTTAATTTAATTTAAATATTTAAATTTTATATATTTATATATTTATAATTTCTTTATTAATTTTGCCACAAATTTGCTTTGAAACAAGTGCTACTAATGAAATAATATGTAACTAGCATGGATTACATACCAAGCACACTAGTATAAATCAGCATGTACATCAAAACTGAGAATCCAACTCTGATAGACTAATTTGAAGTCTGAAGATTTTGCCGGGGGTGGGGGAAAATCCCTGAGAGATATGTGAAGGTGACATGCTGACTCACAGCCATCTATGTTACAGTGGAAGTTTACAAAGGAACCCCAAACACCTGTTAATCCCTTTCCCACTCAGAAGCCCCAGGCATTAGAGTTCCAATACCTGTGGGTCTGAGTTGCTGGGTTCTACCACCTCTCCTAGGGCACAGGAGAAACGTCTGTAGCCCCCTGTATCTCCTCCTAACATGCCACCTAGAGTTTTAAACACTAACCTTCCCTAAAATATTCGGTCGTCTTCTACTACTTTCTAATTTCTGGACTGCCTTTGATAGAGTTATCACATACAAATCTATCCAGGATTGCAGGAGCCTTTTGATCTGCTTAAATATCACCGTAAACAAACAAACAAAAAAATGTAATGTCATCCTCTCTCTAGAGAAAAATTAAATGACATTTCATTTTACATTCACCTCAGGTATTTATTATATCTTTAAAAAGATAGTGCTGTCCCCGCCAGTCATTGGAGACCAACAGATAGGGACATGGTTCTCAATCTTGGCTCCATATTAGAATCACCTACATAGAGAGATGTTCTAAAATTTAGATTTACTGACCATTCTGTAGACCTCTACAGAATTAGCATCTCTACATTTGAGATGTCTGTGGTGGTTACTTTCACGGTAAACTTTCAAGCAGTACAAAAAAGAAACAAAATTAAGTAAAAATCTCCTAAAACCTCACTACCCCTCCCCATTCTCACTACCCAGGGGTAACCACTATTTTAAAATGTTTTAAATTAACCTTCCAGAAATATAGGTACATATCATTGTAAACACCTCTCCCACAGTACACACATTTGGAAAACATAAATGGGATCATACTATCCCACAACTATTTGTTTTCTTTGATTAGTAATAGATCTTAGACAACTTCCATTAGCAGGACAGATAGATGCACTTCATTTTTTTATGGCTGTATAATTTTATATTTTATGGGTGAAACCCAGTTTAAAAAAGAAATCTATTGGCAAACACATAAATTATCTCCTTTTTCCTTTCTTGCTTTTTTTTTTTGCTACTATATATGATGCTGTAAAGAATCTTTTTTGCATTCTTACATGAACTATCTGCAGAAATTTATAGGAGGGAAACTTCAAGGGTTAAGAATATCTCTCTCTCAAAAAAAAAAGAATATATCTCTCTCACACACCCATGCACACAAAGTGTGTGTGCATATGTGTGTCTCTGTGTAAAATCTTTCCAAACTTATACGTGCATGTGTATATATGTGTGTCTGTATATCTTCAATATTACATATGAGTGTGTGTATATATGCACATAAATAGATATATACTTTTCATACTGGTATGAGTTATTGAGTGGAAACGCTGAGTTAAAGGGACATGTATCTTTATATATGTGTATAAACATATATCTGTATATATAAAAATACAAATATCATAAACACAAATACATGCATGCATGCATAGCATATATCTCTTTCCATACATATATATACATAGTACATATATAGTATATATATTTCCATGCATATATTTATGTATGTGTATCTTTGCATACTTATATGAGCTATAGGAGAGGAATTGCTAAGTCAAAGGGACACGTATGCATGTTCAATTTTTATAAATAGTCTAAAGTTGCCTTCTAAAACAATCACACCAAGTTACAATAGTGTGTGTGATTGTTTCCTGACGACTTTACCAACATTATCACTCCTTTTTAAATTTTTGCCACACCCATAGATATGTCATGGTTTCTGTTACCTTTCTTTACCAGTGAATAAAACTGAGTATCTTTTCATATATTTTTCTGACCATTTGTATATGGTCTACTATAAGCTACCCATTGTATTCTTTGCTCATATTTCTGTTGGTTTACCTTTTTGTTCATATATGTATTTATATATTTTAAAAGTTAATCTTTTGTCATATGTTCAAATGATAGTTTTAAAATCTTGCTTATGGTGACTTTTGTCTTATGCCTTTGGGGTTTTCAGCTTGAACATGTGCAGTATTATGGAAGTTTCTCACGGAATTCTGATCATCAAGAGTTACCTGAGAGAAGAAACTAATATCCTGGACATTATGGGAGTGGGGGGGCAGTGGCACAAAGCAAGTAAAATATCCTCTTCTATCTCTGCCTGTGGGATGAATTTGCTGATCCAAAATAGAAAATAATTTTCCTCCATTAAAAAACTAAGAGCTACTTTGGCTGTGAACATAAAACTGCTCTTTAAAAAAAAAAAAAAGTATATTTTTGGGGGTGCCTGGGTGACTCAGTCATTACACGTCTGCCTTTGGCTCAGGTCATGATCCCAGGGTCCTGGGATCGAGCCCCGCATCGGGCTCCCTGCTCAGCGGGAAGCCTGCTTCTCCCTCTCCTGCTCCCCCGCTTGTGTTCCCTCTCTTGCTGTGTCTCTCTCTGTCAAATAAATAACATCTTTAAAAAAAAAAAATCTAAGAGAGATCTATGCCTTAAACTTATGAGTTAAAAAAAAAAAAAAAAACTAAGATCTAAGAGATCAGTTTTTTAGGCCAAAGGAAAAGAGCAAAGAAAAGAAATCACATTCAGTGATTCTCTATTTGCACAAATGACCCACTGATAGCTCATTCCCTATTGACTCCAGCCTTTAGTACAACAGAAAGAGCACAAGGCTTGTAGTCCAAAAACCTTCTTGATGATTCCAGCCCTAGCACTTGCTGGCCATAGACTGTCCAAGATTTGAGCCCCTGTGGCTTCAGTTTTCTCACCCGTAAAATAGAAGCAGTAATCCCAAATTCAAAGGGCCACTGTACGATACAATAAGTAATACAAGTAAAAGGGTGTACACATACTAATGCTCAGGCCTTGGTCCTACATTTTTTGAAGAGCACACAGCCAAAAGTCATTTGGAATTCCAAAAGTCTTTGTAATGCCACAAATTGGTTGTTTTGCTAAAGATTCATCTACATAATTGTACTTTGCTTACTCTACTATTAAAATTGCATAGAATTCCCCTGCATGCCACAACTTACAAAACACAGGTACTGGACAGCAGGGGAAAACCAAGATGGGATTTAAGTTTAAATTTTAAAACTTATATTCATTGAACACAGAGCTTATTGTATAATGAATGACCTTACTTAATGCTCTTACTCAAATGGCATTCCTCTGAAGTGGGCAACTTCCCTTATCCCCAGAACAAGTCTGGGTGAAGATGAAAGGGCTACAGGTTAAGTTATATGGGCCCAATCAATACAGACAGATTCCTGAATTTAAACTTGTCTGGAAAACTGAGGCTCAGCAGACCCCAGACATAATGGGATAATATGATATTTAATATTAGGTGTCCCCTTGGCTAGGTTACACTACCAGCTGTTTTGTCAAATACCAGTCAAGATGTTGCTGGGAAGGTACTTTTAAGTATAATTAACATTTAAATCCATAGACTTTGAATAAAGCAGATTACCCTCCATAATGTGTGCAGCACTCACCAAGGCCTTAAGTGAAAAGACAGTTTTTCCAAAGAAGCAATTCCTTCTCCAGGCTGCTTGACTCAAAACTGCAGCATCAGCTCCTCCCTGGGTCTCCAGCCTCAACTATCTGTCTTGCAGATTTCAGACTTGCCAGCCCCTATAATCAGATAAGCTAGTTCCTTAGAATAAATCATACACACAGGCACACGCACACCCATCCTATTGGTTCTGTTTCTCTGGAAACAGAATTTCTCTAGAAATTTTATATAAAAATTTTCCAATTTTTCTCTGGAAACTAATAATTTCAGGAGATGTGCAACACACGTCTTCTTCCATGGTTTACTGCCACAGCTAATCGCCTGCCTGGAAACCCTCACTCTTCCACTTCTCCAGGTTCCTTCAATAATACCATGCTGGAATCAGGCAGCTCCCTTTTTCCTCCAGGATGCTTCCTCTGAACTACCCACCCTCTAAAGTGCCCCTCCTCTGGGCCATAAAATGAAATCCCCTCATTATAATTGTATATTTTTATTAATCCATCCCCTCTATGAAGTTTTTTTTTGGAGGGCGGGGGGGGGGGGGGGGGGGGGAGGGTCATCGGTGTAGTGCAAGAGAGCAGGATCTGCCTCCCATGGAGTTTACAGACTACTGTAAGAGACAAACCACAAACAAGTAAACAATTACATAGGATAATTTGTTCGCTAAATGCTATACAAAAAGGTAAAAAAAAAAAAAACCACCATGGTGATAAGATGGGGCCTGAGAGAGGGAGAGTCTCTGAGCAGGGAAACTTGAGATCTGAAGGAGAAAGAGCTAGCCTATGAAGACCGAGAAAGGGGATTCCCTCTGGACGGAGGGGTGGCAAGTAGCCCCAGCAGGGAACACGGTGCTCGGGAAATCCTGAGCGAATCCCACAGGAGAGGGGAGAGGCGCGTTTGTGAAGATCTAGATATTTAGAGTAGCTATTTAAGACTGGTACCTAAGTCTCACTTCATGCAACCGGCCTGGTCGGCGGCTAAGTCCTGCGATGAGGGGAGGGATGGAGAACGGGCAGAAGCCTGCCGCCAGACCTGGCCTCTCGGTAGTGTACGGTGACTTGGGCAACGCAAACCCCACTGTCTCCACGTACCGCGGAGCTTGGCACCTGATGTATAAGGCCCCGTCGGCTCTCATGCTGAGGTCCTCTTCTGCCGCTAAACCACCAGGCCCGGGCACAAGGAGAAGCCACAGCGCGGCGGGCCACCTTGAAGGTTCCGCGAAGGCTGGGCCTAGCTAGTCGCACATCCTCTGCCTGACGCCCGGCCGGCCAGGCCGCGCCTGCAGCGGGCGAGGCTCTAGATCGATCGCGACTGACTGCAGGCGGGGGAGGCTGGGGCACCGAGTCAGCGCCGCCCGCCGGAAAGCGGCGTCCTGGGCTCGACTCCCCGCCTCGGTGGAGCCAGCGAGCCCGCGTGCGAGCTCCATCCAGCCCCGCGGCCAGGGACCTGCCAGACTGCGCTCTGGGAACCGAGCTCCTTGTCCTCAGGCCGCCTCTGTATCCTCGACTCACCCCTCCTTTATGCTGCTGCTTCCTTTCCTTCCCCCGCTTTTCCTGTGCTGAGTGGACCACGGCGGGGAAGCGGGAGGAGGAGGGAGGATGGCCGAGCAATAAAGAATCAGTGGTGTGGAAGAGAAAAGGGGCAGGAGGAGGAAGGGAGGAGCGGGGAGAGCGACCACGCGGCGGAGTCCGGCCGCGAAAGCGAAGGGTGCCGGAGCGCCGGGAGGGTGGAGGAGGAGGAGGAGGGCTGCCGGCCGGGAATCGGGCTGCCGCAGGGAAACCGGGAAAAGCGGGGAGCAGCCCATGGGGGAGGGGAGTGCCGCGGGCGGAGGAAAGAGGAAGAAGCGTTCAGATGTTGCGCTGCTTCTCGGAGGTTAAAACCGAAAATAAAAACTGCCCGGCTTCTCCGCCCAGCCCCGCGCCCTCGGCGACGCGGGCAGCAGAGGGTGGAAGAGGTGCCCCCGACCCAGCAGGGACCCCGGGGCTGGGGTTCGGCTCCACCTACCTGGTGGGGCGCCCAGCCCGCCGCTGCGGCGGCGCCAGCGCCACTCAGTGTCCAGATGTCGCGTCGGCTGCAGGCAGCGGTTTCCTTTAATTTCGCTCGTTTCCCAAATCTAGAAGTGGAGCTTAGCGCCATTTCTTTCAAAACCGACATCCAGCCTCCTGAATGGCTGATGCAGCGCTGTGATGACCTTGCTTTTCCTTTCTTTTTCTCTTTTGAATAATCCGGTCTGGAGCGATGGAAGACCCTTAGCGAGTGGCGCGAGGAATAAAAGAAGGGGGGTTGGGGAACCCGGGCGCGAGCAGGACTGGAAGCGGCCGCAACGCGGTGGTTCCTGCTTACGGCCGTGTCAGGTGACAAATGTTGCGAGGGGGCGGGGGCCTGGATATGCGTTCTGGCGACAGGCCCTTGAGCTGTCACCGCGTGGGGCGCCGGCGCGGAGGGTGGGAAGGTGGGGGAGAGCGCGGATCGGGCGGGAAAGAGGAGGCGGGGGGAAGGAGGGGAACCTCGGGTGCTTGCTGCCCGCGCGCGCGCAGCCCTCGGGCTTCACCACCGGCCTTTCCCGCGCGCGCCGGGCGCAGAACGGTTCTGAGGTCGGGGGGAGGTCTGGGGGCGCGCGCGCGCGCGCAGGGAACGCGGGGGCGCGCCTGCGGGGCGGGGATGGGCGGGGGGCGGTGCGTGGGTCCCAGTCGGCGATCGGGGGGCGGGCGCGGCGCTGCCTACCTCTGATGCCAAAAGGCGGCGCAGCGGTCGCGGAGCACAGAGGAGGTGGCGGCGGCCGGAGTATGGTGCGCGCGTTTTTGATCACAGTGCGGATTCGGCGCGCTGGTGGCCCGCCGCGAGTGAGGGCTTTTGTGGTGCGGATCACGCGGCCCTCGGGTGAGTGGGCAGAGCCGGGTGTGCGGGCCGCTGCGGCCCTGGTGTTAAAGCTAGTGAGGAGCCGTCGCAGACCGCAGCAGCCGCATCCTGGAAGAGCAGGTAAGAAAGGCCTCGAAAAGTCCCGGGCGCAGTCGGCCCGTGGAAGATTTTGTTTGGTATGATTTAATACAGATAAACCATCTTCCGGACCAGGATAGGAGGAGGAGGTTTCTAGGGGTGGAAGCCCCCCTCCCCTCTTTCCCCATTCGGGTTACAGTTACTTAGAGGTGCGGTGCTCCGAATATCTTGAGCCCAGAGCCCCCTTCACACACCCCCTCAATCCAGTGAAACTCTGGGGAGAAGCGGGAGATTCTAACCCACCTTAGAAGTCAATCACTCCTGCATTTCCTGGGTGGGAGTCATTAAACACACACATACACACACACACACCACATAACACACACACCCCACATAGCACACAACACACACACACACACAGTGAAGGTGTATTTCTAGGGCACTTTATTTCGCCCCCGAGGAAAGTATTACTAACGGTCTTGGTTTTATGGGGGCCACCTGTTTTCTCCCCTGCCAGGTCAACCCTCTGCTTACAGTAGGTAGAGGATGTTCCAGGGTGGGTGCTCGCACATGGTTTGACTTCCCGAAATAGTAACACTGATCGAAGGAGCAAACACTTGCTTTTGTGGTCAATGGAGAGCTGGGCTTTGGTAGTAAGATGGAGATCTCATATTTGGAGCCCTAACGGATTCAAACTGCTCAGGTTGGTCTTAGCAAAATGTTTAGCAAGAAACAGACCTATTATGGTGAGTCTGAGCAATCACAACAGATCATATTTTAATCATCTCAGGCCACAATTAACACTTTTTAAAAAATGAGGCCTACTTGAAGAACAAAATCCTAGGTAGTTTTGTCCTCACATCAGACAAATCTTTACTCGGTGTAATTTCCTATGACCAGAAAAATTGAAAATCTGTATTGCTACAATATGCAGAATCCTAGTTAGAATTTGGATATAAATCTAAAAGCAATTTCATGAAGCTTCATTTTTGTGACCTTACTTGGGGCATCCATTTTCCCCAGGTATAGATGTTTTGAAAAAGCAAAGGCCAGGGGAAGGGGAATTATTTTTTATTGTAATGTTAATAGGCCTTTGTCATGTAAGTGTAAAACTGTTAAAACTAGGGGTGTTTAGTTAGGTGCCTCAATTCACAAAAATTTACAAGCAGGGGCGCCTGGCTGGCTCAGTCCGTAGAGCCGGCAACTCTTGATCTCGGGGTTGTAAGTTCGAGCCCCACGTTTGTGTAGAGATTACTTAAAAATAAAATCTTTTAAAAAATTTACAAACAACTTATAGGGTAAATACACATTTTCTTTTTCATATTATTATGAAAGTTCAGTTTTTTAAAAGAATTAGTAAGAGCTTGTAAAGGATTTCATGCTATGTTGCTGGACTTAACTTCAGTTCATTTTAAAACATTAACAAGACCCTGTTTGTTTGTTTCTTTTATGGTGCTTTATTCTGACCAGCGAACGTTTAGCCACCATATGTTTTTGAATATCAGAGTTGTTACTATTACTCTCTACTTAAAGCTATTTACTTAAAGTATTAGGTTGCTTCTGGAAATCTCTAATAACAAAGTAGAAAATTTTAATCTATGTAAATATCATAATTATGTGTTTTCTATTTTAGGACTACACAATGTAATACTGTAATTACTTTAAGTTAGATACAGTATTTTTATATTTTTATGAAATGTTAAAAATATAAAAATAATAGGCTCATGGAAAGTAGCCATTTATTTTTTGTTACTTAAGTATAAATCAATTTTCAGGACTAATATGTAAAGTTATTTAAAAATGTATTGACTAGGGGCGCCTGGGTGGCTCAGTTGGTTAAGCGGCTGCCTTCGGCTCAGGTCATGATCCTGGGGTCCTGGGATCAAGCCCCACGTCCAGCTCCCTGCTCAGCGGAGAGTCTGCTTCTCCCTTTCCCTCTGCCTGCCACTCTGCCTACTTGTGCTCTCTCTCTCTCTCTCTGTCAAATAAATAAATAAAATCTTTAAAAAAAATGTATTGGCTATTTGAAAAGCCCAATTTTTAGTAAATATCTGGCCCAATTTTTAGTGAATATCTGAAGACAGGACACACAACTTAGGTAGAATAGACTATGTCTTAAAAAGTTGTGCAATTATCCTTTATTTGTGAAATTATACACATATGTGACATATGGAAGTATTGTAAGTGATGTTTGATGATATATTTCACATAAATATATATTATGCCTATGGTTATACTGACTTAAGAATATATATGGATGGTAATTATATTGGGACTAATTCAATTTCTTAAGAACCACAATGCTAAAAAATTATTTGTATGAATTACTTAATATTAATACAAATATATAAGATGTAATTATTTTTTATTTTTAAGGTTTCTGCAACTATGTTCATTATGACTTTTTATTTTTATATGAGCGGAAAATGTATATAATAAAATTCCATATTACTAGTTTCTTTTTCACACATGCCTGATGAATTACATTAATTGATTTGTTACTTCTACCTTGGTGTGTTTACAAAACAGTTGTATTTTTATGACATGAAGCATTTATTTGTTTACTCCTATTTGGGAACCCTTAGGGTTTTTTATCACCTTTAACAGCATAGCGTTCTCTCAAGGTAAGCACTGTACATTAGCATAAACCATTATTCCCAACGTGTACATGATCCCCAGGTTGTATTATGTTCTAAAGAAACAGTGACACTTTCAGTAACCAAAACGTTAATATTCATTTACTTCTTTGGGGAATCTTGAATTTTAAAAAGTCCATTGTCATCCTAAGGTAGGGAGGACATAACCTTGTCTATGTTCGTAATATTTTATAAGTCTCTTTAATTACATGGTAGTTCATCACTAGTAACTACCATAGTAGAGTTAAGCTAAACCACTTTTCCAACACGTGAATGACTCCTATTAGTAAAGTGATCCAAATCATCTTAAAAATACTTTCTTAAAGGAAGGCTAAACATTTGACCCAGTATTTTTATTCTTTTTAATTTTTAATCCTTTTTGAGAAGCATAACAATCTCACTTGCCCCCTCCATACTAAAATACCTTAGGCCAGAGAATCCTTCTGTCTGCTGCAAAATCTGACTTGAGAAAAAATTTTTGTGGTGCTTTATTTCTACAGTTTAAATTATGTAAACAATGGATATTCTTTCAGTTTCTAAATATAAAATTATTGTATTGAATAGCTTTTTAAAAAAGCTACAGATATCAAAATTCTCGTTCTCACATAATGATCACTAATATTGTGTCTGTTTATTGACTAATGAGATTAATGCACTTTTTAAACACCCCACTGGCAAGGACATTGTTATTGTAGGTATGAAGAACTTTTAAAATATCCATACATTTTTGGAGGCACCTGGCTGGCTCAGTCCCTAAAGCACATGACTCTTGATCTTGGGGTCCTGAGTTCAAGCCCCACATAGGGCATAGTGTTTACTTTAAAATTTTTTAATCAGAAAAAAATATTCATACATTTTATTCAACTATTCTCTGTGTAGGCATCATCCAATGAAAGAAAGATTATGACAAAGATCAATAGACAGATAAATAGTAGCAAGAAATTGAAAATTGCCTTGAATTCTAACAATAAGATGTTAAATTGTGACATGAAACTATACTCTGGAATAATGGCCTGGAATATTCTGGACTCTGGAATATTATAGACAATCATTTCTGAAGAATATTTAATAGAATGTGAAATGATTACATTATAAGGTTAGGTGATTTTTCAAGATTCAAAACAGTAAACAGTTCTTATTTTTGCTTTTCCTCTTTTCCTCTCTCTGGACACACACACACATACACGCCCTGTTTATGTACCAAAATACCTATAGTGCTTTCCTTAGGATGGGGGGACTGGGATTGGTAATCTTTAATTTTTTCGTTATACTTTACAGTTTTCCAAAGTGTGATGACCGTCAGCAGTAAAAAACATAGGTCATTTTCGAAGCCTGAAATGATCCTACGTTACGGATGAACTAGAGCCTGCTTAGCGTTAGACTGGGGGAGACTGAGGAAACGGAGTTGCGCAAGTATCATATATAAGAAGGTTCTTGTAAAGTCTGGAGAAAGCACGAGAGAGTTGTGACTTAAGACTAACGCTAGCCGTGCCTATTCACAACCTACTTCGTTTTTACCTAGACGATAAATGCATAGCTGTGTTAATTTCCCAAGTGCCTGGGCGTTAGGCCTGCTGTCACAAAACTTGCCCCCTTCTAGGAATTCCTCTCACGAGTCCTCTCCGGACCACTTCAAGCTGGGGCTCACCGCTTCCCAGAGCCGGGCGGGGGTTGCAACGGGCCTCCCCAGAACCCCAGAAAGAGCCCGCCAGCAGGAAGCGAGACTCGAGACTCGAAGCTTTTCGGACCTCGCCTCCCCCACCTCCCGGCTGCAACCAGCC